CAATCTATTGTGTTTTTGCGTGGCTCGAATTCTCAACTTTCGTAGTTGTTTTTCTTTCGGCGCGGTGACGTATGATGTGTGCATGCCATTGTGTATCCAAAGGTCGCCGCGATATCACTCGCTCGCCGAACGTCGAGCCGGCAAGCAGTGGCAAGAGTCGCTCCGTGCGTGTTATTACTTTTGCGTTATTAGTTTCCAAGACTCGATCGCGATGAATATAAGGATAAAACGCTATTGATTGCTGGAAGATTGATCGCTGGAAATTTTGCTCACATAATTTATTTCGAGAATTAAATTGAATTACAAAGATTGTAAAATATCGTTTCGTTGCGGACTAATAACTACTTCTTCACCGCAGATTATGCTTTCGATGCTCACGTTGCATTTTATATCGCCAATTCAAAAGTGATTTATCCATTTTTCCAAATCGAAAATGCAAGTTGTTAGTTCGAGTAATTTGTATGACAGAAAATCACGCGATATTTGTTAATAATATTTCGTTCGTTTCGCAGTATTTCACATCGCGTACGGGAGTGTCCGAAATTTCGCGCGATCGATGATTTTCGCGAGTGAGTGTTGTGTGAGTGCAACAAGAAAATCCGAGAGAAGGAGGAGGCATTGGAGGCATAGGGCAACAGCGGAAAAAGCGTGAGGTAAGTGTCTTACATTTTTATTATTTGCTAATTGTGCAAAATGAATCATCTGTTCTGTGCTTTTATTTTATTTATTCAAGCGATTCGAACGAGGATTCGAATAAGTGTTAGAGACAAAACCATACATATAAAATTTTGTGAGTTTATATTTAAAAGAAAGACTTTTTCAGTATTCTATATAATTATTTTAATAATTACCTATTTTACAAAATATAAAACATAAAATATATTTAATAAAATAATTTTAATTTTACGTGATTAGTCTACATATAATAATCATATGCATATTTGTATTTTTACAGTTTAACATATATGTATAGTTAATGATGTACAACTCTGCTGTTGCGAATCGTATCAGTGAGTGATAAATTACTTTTTATTTTAAATTGACGTTGCGCATACAATTACTTCTTTGCATGTATACAAATTCTTAAAAACATACAATGCTCAATTACAAACTGCGCGCGCGAGGCGCGCGTTTTGTCATTTCTAGTAAACTATAAAAGTGATATGAGGAAATAATATACATAATACAAACATAATTGTATCATTTTAAAATAATATTGCTACAACATTACTAAAGTAATATTGTAAAATAATGTCTCTGCAATATCTATGTACATACATATATACCATTACACTGCAAGATGCAATGTTGCAATGTTGCGGCAATGTTGTTGCAAGCTTTTGTGTTGTATGGGTACTGATAGAGTATCGATTACTTTCAACACAAAAGATTCATAAATTAATCCGCTAGGAGGAGATAATTCTTAAAAGCAACTCGTATTTAAAAATCGTTGAAGAATAGGATAAGGAGGTCTTTCAACGGCAGAATTTTAGGAAAATAATCCTTAGCATACTAGGAGTCCTAAAAGTAGTAATCACGACTTCCAAGAGAAGCTTTTAGTTCTCATTCCTATAGAAGAGGAAATAACTCTTCGACATCCACTTGACCGCGGCCTAAGTACAAAAACCAGAAATTGCGTAATATCGAGATACGACTTTGCGAAAGAGATCAGTCGATATGCCTCATAATACATGTCTCGAGGACGTCTTTTAGATTTGTTTTCAAAACATCTTAAAGACAAATCTAAAAGACATCAAAAGTCGGGACATAAGAAACAAAAAGACGTCTTTTTGACAACTTCATAAGACGTCTTAGAACTGTTCAAGACGTCTTTAAGATGTCTTCAAGACGACGTAATGTTCTCTGGGATAATTACTATAATGAATTGATTCTCATGAATAAACTCTCTCATTACGAAGAAGAAATAGTATATTAAAAACATATAAAAACTTTATTGAAACATCATAATACAATGCTCTATTTACAAGATGTTTTATATGTACAAATACACTTTATAATATAATATTACTTTGATCGCAAAAATTATATATTATTTCTAAAGTGCTGGTGAGCAAGGCACGTGAAGGTCTAAATTGAGGTGCAAGCCGGGTTTAACAATGAGGTACAAAAAATATAAAAAATATAAAATGTATAACAGTATCGTAATCACATGAATTATTGCGCTCGACAGCTTTTATCACAAACTAATTTAAGTGTCTTAAAATCTTTTTTTTATCACTCATTTCAATTTAAATTTTTAATATTCTCATTTTCTATTATGCCTATTTCTAAATCTCCAACAGTGGATTCAATAACGTCAATTATAATAAGATGTTTAAATCCGAAATTAAAGAGATAAGATGTTTAAATCCGGTACATATGTATATCGAATTTAAACATATCTTATTATAATTCACGGTATTGTGTGTATACATATATATATATACACACACACAAATCGCGATTTGCTGTCAATAAGTCGAGTATTCAAATGATATTTACACAGAGTTATTCACTTCTGTAATGATTTTTCATGTCATAACATAAATCTGTGGAAAAAATAGTTGAGTCAAGTCAGCGCGTATGTAAATCAATAATTTACTGTATTTATGTTGTAAACAATTGTAAACAAATTGTCGAGTTTAGTTTTTACAGCGTCAAATGTAGTAGTTAAGTAGTCAAAAGTCCACGTCTATTTTTGACATATAATAATCCACAGAAAAATAAGTTATTTCGTCAGATTAATTTTTTACTGTACTTTGACCAGATATTTAAAGAAACTGTTTCCGATGAGTCGATGTAAACTGTCTATATCGTGTCTGTAACTTTGTAGAAAAATGTAAATTTCAATTATGTCTATCAGTTGCGTTCGTTGTCATTTCATTACTTGTCTGTTTGTCGCGTAACAATCTGTTGTAAAGTCAGTAAAATAGTCTCCTTCAATATATCTCTATTGGCATCGTTATCCATAAAAAATGACTAATAGCAATTAAAAAACCCGCAAAAAAAATTGCCTTATAAGTTTATACAAAGTAAATAAAAAGAAATGTTAAATCCTTTTTTGCGTATTACCGTATATCACATAATGAAAGTGGCGTTACGATTTCTATCGAAGATTTAAAAAATTTCTGTTAATTGATCGAAACTACGAATTAAAAATATGCCAATGTGCAGCTACAAATGTCTGCAATGCCCAACATTTTGGTTACAATACTATCACTTTTATTTCTTTTTGTGATAACCGGAGAAACCACCACTATGGCCCCCACCGTAACCACCGCCACCGCCACCGCCGCCGCCGCCGCCGCCGCCGCCGTGGCCGCTTGAATAGGAATCGAAGCCACCACCAGAACTGTAACTACTTCCGCCATGACCACTGAAAGATACATCAACATAAAATGCTATATTACGTACAAGGTACAATGATTGAGATTTTTTGCATTCCTTTTCTAAGATTATTGCCTCTTTCAACCTAATCCGTTTATCTTAATTTGATATTTACCTGCTACCAAAATCAGATATACTATTGCCATAACCGCCGGAGCCAATATGATGATCATCGCCGCCGATATCGTGTCCACCCCCGAAATCGCCATGTCCACCGCCCCCATGGCCACCTCCAAAACCGCCGCCGCCTCCATATCCACCTCCTCCTCCAAATCCACCGCCATGGCCACCTCCGAAGCCACCTCCATGTCCACCTCCGTATCCACCACCTCCTCCAACGCCGCCACCGCCGCCATGTCCTCCACCGTCTCTGACGACGCCGCCGCCACCTCCACCACCGTAACCGCCGCCACCTCCATGACCACCTCCAAAACCACCGCCGCCGCCGCCATGGCCTCCGTGGTCTATGATGATACCACCGCCGCCTCCT